CTGGTGCAAATTACTGACCTCTGTCATCATTTTAGGTGGGGGAACTTGCACAATCGGTGGCTGACTAAATACTTTTTTGCCCCACTGTATTACAGTTTTACAGCCGTTGGTTCAACTGCCTACAACACGACTCAGTGAATGACTGGACCACACCGACAGTAGCAGATCACCATGTATTGCAGAGGTGCTGGATGGCCGCTCCCGGGGGCAGCAGAGCTTCCGTGAAGTACTCGGAGCTGACATTCCAGCTTTGAAAATCAGCCGGCAAAGAGAGCGGCGAACAGGGACAGTCAGCGTGAGCCACACAGGAGCCCCTGTGCAACACCTGCAAAGGGCACGATGACACAATCAGTTAGGACTCACATCTGCTGTCCAACCACACACACACACACACACACACACCTGTCCAGGAGGGCATGTGCACCCCGGCGTGCAGGGTCCAGGTAAACACTGAGTGTGTGGCCACAAGTCCTGGCAGGTATACGGACAGGAAGCTGAACAGTCACTGGACACCTGCGTGCCGGGACACTCTGCAGGAACATAAAGCAAATGACCTCACCTGTAACAGGTCGGCGTGCAGACGTGTGCGCTGATATATTTACTTCATATTCACTTTGTTTGTTATAATTAATATAACTGTAAACATCACTCGTTAGGACTTTGATGAGCTGACTGACAACAGTTTCACATCATTTGAACTCAAGTGGTATTTCTCAGTAGACACACAAAGTGCGCAGTGTTGTGTGCTTGTGTTACCGGGCAGGCAGCTGTTGGTGTTACAGACAACGTGCTGTTCAAGTGGCCCGACACAGGCTGTCCCACCGGGCTCTGGCTCTCGAAGGACCGTCTTGTTCCGCAATGACAACCCACCGTCACAGGAGGCGCTGCACTCGCTCCAGGCCGACCACTCACTCAGCAAACAACCCGCTGCAAAGGGAGGCGGCGAGTTAAGCAGAGATTAAGGAGGTAAGGGGACGCCAGACTTGCAGGTAAAATCTCCGGATCTTGGCTGGATATTTTTTCTATGTCCGACCTGGACACGACGGCAGATCACAGATTTCTGTTTGCGTGACTTCGGCACAGGGCGGGCCGCCCTCTGTGTCCTGGCAGCGGCGCGTCCTGGTTCTCCGGCCTCGCTCACATGAAGCTGAGCAGGCGCTCCACGGACTCCAGGGCTCATAAACTGGACAGGGAAGCTTGGAGCACACCACCGTGCCATTCTCACACACACTGCACACAGAGGGGGGTGTTACGAGAAGTGAGACGGAGCAAAGTTTCTGAACTAAACGCTACAAAAATGTGAAAAACTGCTTTATTAATCCCAACTATGACCATACTTCAGCTCACAGAAAGCAGTTCTCACCAGGCGTTACAGTCCACAGTAAACTCCTCTTCAGGGAGGAACTCCAGCGTCCCGTTGCCTGATGGGATACCACAACGACATTCTGTCACTGGCACGCAGCGGCCATCTTGCAACAGCTGTCCTTCTGGACACCGACAACCTGAGGAGACAAAAACCAAAAAAAGAGACGGAAAAGTAAAGAAACACAGAAACATTGAATATCACGTAATGAAAGTCTAATATTAGGAAGATGTTATCCATGGTTACCCGGGTGACAGGCTCCTTGGAGACACTGCACATGCTCCCATAGGTCAGTGCAGCTGCGAGGACACTTGTTGGCACAGCTGTCCTGGGAGGCTCGATCCCTGTCCTCACAGCGCTCACCTGAAAAAGCAAAGAAAACCATGCCTGCGCTGCAAAATGTGACCTGACATAGAAACAGAGTTCAGCACGGTGGTGGTGGTGTGATGTGTGTGGCTTGTAGCTGTAGCTTTGTGACAGACAGATAATCGTAAGGACAAAGTTTTGTCTTCAGTCTGATTTAGTCTTTTAGTACATCCTGATTTGTTTTATTTCAAACAGCTTCAGAACTAATGGAACTTCTTATAAAATTCTTCTTTTTAAGCTGTAAAGACGTTTGGTTAGAAATTCATTGAATCGGATCATTTTGCTCTGTGTGTCGTTTTATATACGTTTTACTTGTACGTCTGATTTCCTCTCACTTCTTTCCAAGAATGTGCAGAAGTTCCTTCAGCTGCTGAAAAGAAACACTAATGACTTTGCATTAGTTCAAAGTGAAAACACACAAATGTGTTTCTAACAAACCACGCTGACACAAACAACATGATCATCTCTGTCCGGCTCAGCCTCGGAGCCTTCGAGGAAAACATTTTCACTGCGTGTACCAAAACTTCCAACAGCCTTAACTTTTAGGGGCTTTTGTAGTCATCTCCATTCACATATATATCAACAAATTGTGTAACTAATGTTATCTTAACTGAACTTATGAACTACACCACTGATGTTGCCTGTTGGCTTTGTTCTCTTTTTAAGCTCACATGTACCTGGGCAGAGGGCCGTGTTGCATCCTTGGGTCTGGGTCTCTTGCCTCCTACACTGGGGTCCTGCAGGAGAGGCCAGGGGCTGTCTGTAGCGCTGCCTGACTCCACCGCTGCACGGCTCAGCACACGCTGTCCAAGCACTCCACCCACTCCACTGACACGCATCTAGGAGAGCAGAGTGACTATCATAACTAACCTAACCTTGGTATTATCCGCATTAACAGACTGACAGTGACAAATACAGAAACTTTAAGTGTTTCGTTTTAGATGATGACGACAGAGCGACAAACACAATGTGTTTATTTGCTGTATGATTTATAAGTAAGAGACACATTTTAGTTTGTTCTTGCTGAGCAGTATTTACTCAGTATGACCAAGAACCAGGCTTCAGTTGTTTGACATGCAAATTAAGCTGGGACAGCAGTCATTCAGAGCCATTCGTGTATAAAAAATGGATGGATGACAGAGTTAAATTTGAGCTGAATCATCCTTTGCACACACATAAAAGCAAAGCTAACCACACATGAGCATTTAACCTGTCCTTTTCTTCTCCTTTGGGGAATAAAGTGAGTCAGAATAGCAGGAAAAGCCCATTTTGCACTGATTAAGGCCTCTTAACTGTCTGCTGATGGCAGCTGTGACTGACACACAGTAAACATTTTCCCTCAGAGACTCCACATGTCAGAATAACATCGCTCTCATCACTGGATCCAAAACGACATACATTTATTTAATACACTGAAACAGTTTAAAGGTTTGCCTGTTTATAGCTTGGACATTATCGGTGTCTGCAGTCGTTTATTCCTCGCTGTGTGTGAGACTCCAACTGTCTTTATTTAGATGAAAAGAATATGCTTTGAAGTGCACGCATTTATTTCAAAACACAATTACCCCCCTTTCCTTTCCAGAGAAAACCGCGCTGCAGTCATTTCATCACCCTCTGACCGACTGTGTAATTCATTTTTTTCTTTGGAGCCGTGCTTGTCGAGCCCTGACTCACTGTTTGCATGCAATCTGTGTCAAACTTTTACTGAGAGGCTCTCAGACAGAGCAGAACTGTGGTGCCCACAAACACCCAGACCCTGTGGAGGAGGTGCAGTTTGTGCAGTTTGTTTATGGTGTCCTCCAACCTCAATCCGACCCAACTTCCAGGTGCACAGTGCAAGTTTGACCTAAAAGAATCTTGCAAAGGTCAGTATGAGTTTGCAGACAGCAGTAAAATCGCTAACATAACACAGAACATTTGCTCTCCTCAGTGACATCTGGCCAATAAGACGACTGAATCCTCTGACACGAAACAAACTCTTGGTGTGAGCATCTTTGTTACCTCTGCAGATGTTAGCATCTGGACATGGCCTCTCCTCTACCAGCAGTGCTGGACACTGGCTCTCCTCCTCTTTAGAGACTGGAAGACCAGAATCCAGGTCCAAACAGGCTCGAAAGCGCCTCTGGATCGACACCATCTGCGAGCTGTTGTGCTGCAGCACGCAGGGAGAGCACCGAGTCCAGCCCGACCACTCGCTGAGGACGACTGAAAGAAGGAGAGAAAGAAAGATTCAGGTTCGCCGTGTTTACAGAGAACCTCGTTTTATTACTCTGCTCTCTTACCTTCACATTCTCTCATGTCGCACTGCAAACTCCCATCGTGACAAAGACTGGAGGACAGAGAAGTCAACAAAACGGACAATAATAACAACCTGTCACAGCCCAGGCAGCATAAAAGACAAACTGCACACACAAGCTGGGAATCACAAAGAAAGAGCAGAGAGTGACGACAACACTGTGAGAAAACATTCATGTCTCTATCAGCAACAGGGGCTGATAGAGACAACTGACCAGGTACTGCAGCCTATGGTGACCGTGGCCCCCTGTGGGACGGTGACAGGCGTGGGTGGATCTCCTGGAGCTTGGTGCTGCAAGTGGATGCAGCCACATTCCTCTGGAGGAACACAGCTCCCATTATACTGCAGCAGGCCCTGGCAGGAAAAACACACATCTCAGAGAAAAGAAGAAACAGCGCAGCATCTGTGTCTTGGTCATAAAGTACAGCACATTTGTCCTATGTTGCTCTCAAATCACGTGCATTTAGATGCAGAAGTCACATCAATGTAGAATTCATACTTCAGGCAAACGTGCTGTTTGAAGCAGCTTAAGATCCAAAAACTAAACCAACAAAACGCAGCTGTTAACACGTGTTGCATTATTTGCTAATCATATTTGTTCTTAATGACCAGAAATCAAAGCAAAACCTCCAAAGGCAAAGTGCGTCTTACTGTATCCTACTGGTAGTGTCCAAAAATCATAATTAAACTCAGCAGCGTTCATTAAAACTCACCTGTGGACAGTAACAGCCAGGTGTGCACTCGCTGACGCCCAGACACAGATCTTCACGGCCACGCAGTTCACACTGCTTCTCACAGGGAGCGCCACACGACGAGTACACAAACGGGGCTTCGCAGACTTCTAGCAGGAAAACACATGAAGAGGTGTAGGACCAGAGTGCAGCTTAAGCAGCTCTAAGGGTAATGAACTCACCATCACAGCGGCTGAGACCGCATGCCCGGCTCTGCGTTTCCACAGGAGTGCACTGTTGGCCCCTGGTGGGTGAAGAGAGCGCTACACGGTAACGCTGCTGCCTCTGGGACGCACAGGAACACTGAGACCAAACGCTCCACGCTGACATGGGACAGCCTGCCAAAGCAACGAAAACATTCAAGTGCGATTCACGAGCGCTTGATGTGAGTCGCTTCAACACACAGTCGGCTCTTCAGTTAATCGCATACTATGGCATCAATTTAGAAGTCAAATACCTGCTCACCCTCTTCTACACTGGCTTTAAAAAATGAAGCACAATAAAAAGATGAAAGTCAGTGAATCTCAAACAGTCTGGAAGCTTCTCACAGTCTAACACAGGATTGAATGCGAGGCTCCAAAGCTCTGTGTAGCTCTACTTGTGCTATTTTCTCTCATATTTCACATACTTCACTTCCTGCCCTTGTGTATTTCCTGCCCGCCCTCATTTCTTCTGCCAGATCATCTTTTCCCAATTTGCCCGGTGTTCCAGGATTTGTTGGCAGCATTAGTAATGTTAAGGGTCCGATTTGTTTTCTGTGACACCGATACCCTGTACACTGAGCTCTGTTCACTTAGTAGAGGCTGTACCTACCCGTCCAGCTTCACTCAATAAAACCTGCAATGCACATGTGTGCAACACAGAAATCAGCAGATGGACAGGTGAAGTTAATTTGACTGGTTTAATATTCTCTGTGGCAAACATCTGCAATCTGTGTCCTATTAGCTCCAGCAGTGTGACACAGACTGGGATCAACCACTAAAACATTTTTTGCATATGTGACTTAACTCTTATTTTGCACAGCTGTAACTTTACTGCACGGCTTCGTCCTGCGGTGTGAGATACAGCTCAGCAGGTTGCATATATGAAATATATTCCTTCAACAGAAAATCTATACCATACCAAGTCACTATGGAGACCTAATAATGCAATGTGACGCTAAAAAACAAAGATCCAATAAACCCTTTAATGTCACTCTGTGGTTCCCCAGTCTAGTCTCTAAGGTTGTGTCCCTACATGTACTCTGGTCTGTGCCCATATAGCTCATTACCTAATAATATATTAGAATAACTGTGTGTTCATCAGTAACAATCACTGCAACTATGTCCAATCGTTTAATGAGCTCAGCTGAAGTTCCTCTAATTACAATGGCTTCTCAGAAATGCTGAAGACACACAGAGCCGTCAGCTGTTCAGAGAGAAACAGCACAAACAGCGATCGTGGCTGTTAGTCTGGCTTCAGTGCTGCCAGCATGACTCTTGTACCTGGACAGGGCTGTTTGTAGCACAGCTGCGTCTCCACGCGGTTCCTCTCAGCCTCGATCTCAGGGGGACACGCCGCATCTCCTCCCTGCTCGCACACACACGCCCTGTGTCGTGATACAGACCCCGCCCCGCACGTCTGGGAGCACGGTGACCAAGGAGACCAAGGGCAAAGGTCATCTGTTGATACAAGAGTAAATGAAATTCTCTTTGATTGGAGAGAATATGTGGCTTTTCTTTCCTTGCCTTAAGATACAGACCCAGGCACGGAGGGGTCTGACACTCCTGTGTTTCTTTCTCTGGCCCGCTGCAGTGAGAACCATTGTTTCGTGGTGGGGGGTTGATGCAGGCGCGGGTTCGAACATGTGTGCCCCGACCACAAGTCGCTGAGCAGTCAGACCACACCGACCAGGGGGTCCAAGCACCGTCCACTGGAAACAGCACAAAGGATTTTCACAACGGTCTTTGCAAGGACTTCAAACATCTGCGACACTCTTTCACAGAAACACAGCGACGCACCTCTGCAGTCGATGTCTTGGCAGAAAACTCCCTCTGGAGTGCACGTGCTAGAAGAAACACAGGCAGAGCTTCCAGCACAGTATCACTGACATTTCATTTTTGTCATTAACATCCATATCCTCTGTCCTTATCTAACGCACCATTGTTTACATTCTCCTTGGAGCCAGGTGTCACCCACACTGAGCGTCTGGTTGTCAAGGAGACAGAGAGGCGGGCAGGTTCCTGGACTGCAGGGTCTGTGCTGGACCTCCTCAAAGTGGCAACGTGTTCCCTCGGTGTCTGGGGTCAGAGACCTGGCACATAACACCAACAGCAGGTAATCACAGTGGAATACACCGAAAACCAGTTTAATACCACTGCATGTATTTATATCCACAGATACACTGCAGAACCAAAGACAATGAAGCAACCATCACGCTCTTTTCACGTTTCATATATTTAAGATTCACAGTCAGGGTTCAGAAAATCATCAGCCTTTAGGTGCTCTGAAAACTGCAGCGCAGGATCCAGTCCAGAATAACCTCTACCCCCATGCTGTGAGACTGAAACTCTGGCTCCGCCCCCTAACCTACTAGACTCCATTATTGTTTACATTGCTGACTTACTGTGGTAGCAGGAAGCCTGGATCACTAATCTGTTACTCCGTGACTGCTTTCATATGTGATTTAAAGTGCTAAATGTATCTTATGTTATTTGTAAATTCTAAGATTTGGAATTAGCATTGAGAACATGCAGTACCATGGAAACGAAGCTATTTAACTATCCATCAGGAAGGTGTCTGATCAGCAGCAAATTCATTCTTTTGAAAGCAATGCTTTCAGCAAGTGACGCTCCGGCTCCCACAGAGCCCCGATTTTATCTCCTGACAAGGACAAAAGACAGACGACAGAGTTAATCGTCACACTGACTCAGACAACTCGAATCAACTTTATCCTTAATTCAGCAATTACAGAGGACAAACACTGGAGTAGAGATGGACCGATCCCATATTACGTATCGGTATCGGTCCGATACTGACGTAAATTACTGGATCGGATATCGGAGAGAAATAAAACATGTAATCCGATCCATTAAATATCAAAAAAGCACCTCACAAAACTTGCGACACGGCGTAACTCGGCTCATAACCGCAGCACGTCGGAGCAGTGTGCTCAGTGATAGAGCAGCTGTGTGTGTTTGTAGCCTCGCTACCAAACCAGCATTTCATCTCTGAAGTGATCCCAGAGAGAAGTAAAGCAAGTGTGTAAGTTCATCTCTGAATGTTAGTTAAGCTTAACAACCGATATATGGAGCGACTGCCTCTCTCTCTCTCTCTGCTGCTGCTTCAATCATGAAACTGATCAG